CTGACTTACTTCACTTAGCAGAATGCCCTCCAAGTCCATCTGTGTTATATACCAGAAACTAATACAACATTTTAAATCAGCGGTACTTCAATTAAAAAGCAAGCAAACAAACAAACAACCCATTTAAAATATGGGAAGAAGAACTGAACAGACATTTTTCCAAAAGAGGAAATGCAGATGATCAACAGGAACAGGAAAAGTTGCTCACCATCACCAATATCAGGGAAATGCAGATGAAACTCACAATGAGTTTCATCCAATGCAACCCCTGTCAAAATACTCATGACATTTTTCACAGAACTAGAAAAATCAATTCCAAAATTCATATGGAACAATAAAAGACCCCGAATTGCCAAAGCAATCTTCTGTAGGCCTTTTTTCCCCCTTTCTTCTTTTTGTTCTCTTTTCTTGTGATTTGATGACTAGAGACATTCCTTTAACATTTGTTGTGAAGCTGGATTGGTGGTGCTGAAATTCTTTTAGCTTTTGTTTATCTGTGAAGCTACTGAGTTCTCCATCAAATCTGAATGAGAGCCTTGCTGGGTAGCTTGTTAGTTCTAAGTGTTTCCCTTTCATCACTTCATGTATATGGTGCCACTCCCTTCTGGCCTGTAGAGTTTCTGCTGAAAAATCAGCTGATAACCTTATGGGCATTCCCTTGTGCATTTGTCACTTTTCTCTTGCTGATTTTAATATTTTCCCCTTATCTTTAATTTTTTTCAATTTGATTACTATGTGCCTTGGTGTGTTCCTCTTTGAGTTGATCCTATGTAGAACTCTGTGGGCTTCCTGGACTTGGTGACTATTTCCTTTCCCCAGCTGGGGAAGTTTTTGGTAATTATCTCTTCAAAAATTTTCTCAGGTCCTTTCTCTCTCTTTTCTCTTTCTGGGACCCCTATAATGTGAATATTAGTATGCTTCATATTGTCCCAGAGTTCTCTTAAACTATCCTCATTTCATTTCATTCTTTTTTTTTCTGTTCTTCAGTAGTGATTTCCACTAATCTCTTCTAGCTCACTGATCCGTTCTTCTGCCTCGTTTAGTCTATTCTCAGTTCCTTCTAGTATTAATGAATAATGTATTATTATTATTAATGAATAATGTAATATTAATGAATAAACATATTATTCATTTCACTGATTTTATTCTTCAACTCTGAGTATTCTTTATATTTTCCAACTCTTTGTTAAAAACTTCACTCTATACTTGCATCTATATTCCGAGTTCTCTGAATGTCTTTATCATCATTACTCTAAACGTTTTCTCAGATAAATTGCCTATCTTGCTCCTTGGCCTGGAAGATATTCCTCTGCCGCCTCACGTTGTCTCCCTTTCTATTTGTATTTTTAGGTAGGTTAGTTACATTTCTTGACCTTGGAGAGGTGGCCCTCTGTGGGAGACATGCTATGTGTCCTAGCAGTACACTAATCTCTTGTCACCTGAGGGCCAGGGTCCAGCCGGTCCCAGTGTAGAGTCTGGCCTGTGTTTGTGGATTCCTTCCACAGGCTTTGGAATTGTTGTCTTCTTGTTTCTGGTATCTGCCCCTGGTGGCTGAGGCTGGACTAGAGGTTCATGCGGGTTTCCTGACAGGAGGAGTCCTGCCCACTGCTGAGTGAAGCTTGGTCCTGGACCTCTAGGGGGTAGGGTCTAGAGGCGTTTGTGGCTCAGGAATTCTGCTGATGGGTGGGGCTAGGTCTTGGTACTAATGATCCAATCAAGATGTCAGCCTCCAGGAAAGCTCAAGTAGATGAACACTCCTGGAATGTCTGCCACCAGCTTTTATGTCCCCTGGGTGAGCTGCAGCAGTTCCCTACCTCCCCAGGAGTTCCTCCAAAACCAGCAGGCAGGTCCGGCCCAGGTTCCTATGAAATCACTGCCTCTGCTCTTGGACCCAGAGCATACGAGATTCTGTGTACACTTCCCAAGAGAATGAAGTCTCTCTTTCCCCCAGTCCCATGGGGCTCCTGGAGCTTAGCCCCACTGGCCTTCAAACCCAGATGTCCTGGGGTCTCCTCCTCCCAGTGCTGGAACCTGGGCTGGGGAGCCTGGTGTGGGGCTCAGAACTCTCACTCCTGTGGGAAGGCCTCTGTGACTTAATTATTCTTCAGCTTGTGGGTCACCCACCTTGTGGGTATGGGGCCCGATTTTATCATGAGCAGACCCCCTCCTACCGTCCTATTCCCTTTTTATGTTTCCAGTTGCAAAAGATCTTTTTTGCTAGGTTCCAGTTTTTTGTTTGTTTGGTTGGTTTTTTGATGTTTAGCAGTCAGTTGTGGTTTTGCTGTGGTCACGAGGAGAGGTGAGCTCATGGTCCTACTACTCTGCCATCTTCTAGACATATTCCTTTTAAAATGAAGAAGTAAACAAAAATACCCACAATCACTTCTTGTATTCACCATCATACTGATAAAGCAGAAGAAGAAACAAAAAGGCATGAAGATGGGAAATTTAAAAAACAGAAATTCATTTATATTTAGATTATATTTTCTACATAGACAACTCAAAAAGAACCTATAAACTATAAGACATAATATCAAGATGTCTCATTTCTTTATTACTCTGTAACAAGCCACCCCAAAATTGAATGACTTAAAAGAATATAGAGTTTATTCTATTACAATTCTTTGTCTCAGCGATTTGGGCTCTACCCAGCTAGGTAATTCATGTGCTGCTGCCGCATGAGGTCATTTAAGTGACTATATCATCTGGCATCTTGAACTGCACTGGATGTGTAAGATGGCTTCATTCACATGTCTGGTGAGTGATACGTACTGTTGGCTCATAGGTTTAGGAATCAGCTAGAAAAGCTTATTTCGGCTCCATATGGATAAACTGAGCTTCTTCCCAGGGCAGTCTCAGAGGAGTGTTTCAAGAGGTCAAAAGCATAAGCTACAAGACCTCTTGAGGCCCTGGCTGCATTTTCAGAGGACACAGAATAAGACTCCAGAGAAGCCAGAAGACAGAGGTGGAAAAAATGTTCTCTGGAGGGCCCTTAAGAAGGGCACTTAATTTCTCTCCTCTCTCTTCCCCCTGACAAACAACGAAAGAGTTACTCACAAAAACACAAAAGTCTAACACCAGGGGGTGAAGGAAGATACTATCTAAACATGTCACTGGCCGGCACATCACCAGGTCCCAGAGCAGAGCTTTCCTGAAATAGCTGGAGGCAGCTCCCATCGACTAACGACTAACGTCATCCCCATGATTCACAAAGTCGGCTCTTCCTTAGTGTGTGGAAATGAGACAATCAGGATGCTGATGGACCAGGCTGCTGGAAATGAGCACGGTGGTCTCCAAGAGCCACCCAGACATACCTCGCTGTTGGGAAGTCCCCTTGGCCATCACTCCATGGATTCCTGAGTGCCCTGGATGCTTGGACTGAGTGAGGAGAAAGTCTGAATGTCCTCCAGGAACAGCTCAGAGAAATGGGCCCCTCCAGTCCCCAACAGTCCTTAGCACATGGGTCTCCAGAGTCTGGGGAAGGGGAGAGGCTGTGCAGACGACGATCTTCAGGAGTGAGGCACCTGACGATGGGGCTGGGGCCCTTCCTCCGGCTACTGCAGTCTTGGGGCTCCGTTCCTGCAGTACGGCACTGGCATCTCACCTCACTATGTCGCTTGCCCATTCTCACTCCGCTGAGGACAGGACTGTCATGAATCTGAATTCCTTTGAGGCTTGCCCTCATCTCCCTGAGGGAAACATCTTCTGGGATTGTAGAGATTTGAGTAAAATCAAGCTGCAGTTAAATCATTAGCAGAGAACATGGTCAGTCTCCCCACGTCTAATGTCTAAGCAGAAGAGACTAAGGAAGGACTGGTGACAGCAGCATTCTTGGGGAACAGAGGGTCAGGGAGCTGGACAGGCTTGGGAGCACTGCATCTGAGGAATCCTAAATTGGCTGTATGGGCAGTAAATCCATTGTCCCACCACATCCTTTCTTGTCCCCGCCTTGGCTGACTTCAGTATCCATATGAATACCCCCTTTATCACTCTGGCCTCACAGATCTTTGACCCCATAAATTTTACTCCACCATTCTACCTGGCACACGTACACCCAGGAAGATGCCATGGACTTTGTCGTTGCTCTTAACTTCTCTACTTCTGAAATAACAAACTCTGACCCCAATTCTTCTTTTAGCTCCGCCACTGTTACTTTCACTGTCTGTTCTTTATGCCTTGGAAATGCCCTGTTTGTAGAGACCACGGCGCTCCCTTGCTCTGATCGTCTTAATCTGTCTTGGTCTGCATTTGCGATGAGAGAGGAGAGTGAAAGAGGTCTTCCTCTCAATAGGCCATGAGGCCTGTGGCTGTGGCTGGCACTGAGGCCAGGCTGGGAAGGGGGAGGAAGGGAGGCCGTCAGCTGGGTTAGGGGCCCTACAAAGGAGCTGGCTGGAAACAATGGGGAACAAAGGCTGGACATTCTTCCCTGAGCCCCCGGAGCCTGGCCCTGGCCTTCCGGGAACAGCTCCAGGAAATGTCTGAGATTCCAGATTTGGAAGGAAGCAACCTGTAAACAGGAGCTGGGCTGTGAGAGGGGAGAGCTGCCTTTCTCTGGGACGGGTGTGGAGGCGGGGAGTGGCAAGGTGAACACTGGCATTACAGGCCTGTCTGCTCTAGACATAAGTTCTCAGGGCTGGAAAGACTCTCAAAGGTCATCTGCTCCAAACACATTTCCAGGGCCTGAAAGATATCCCTGCTGGCCAAGGATGCTCGAATAATTTCAGTGATGGGTTGTGCATGAAAGTAAGTAACAATACTGGCTGAGCTCTACTGATCACTTATAATGTACTAGGCACTGCACTAAGTGATTTTATGCTTTAAACCCTCCCTTGCTTCAGCCCTCAAGGCAGGAACTATTATTGTTGTTGTTGTTGCCACTTTACAAATAAGGAAATTGACTTTCAGGGGTCAGGTCACTTAACCAGAGCTTGTCTGTCACAGAAGCTTATCTGTCTCTGGGCTGACTAGGAACATACTATGGGCATCTCCCAGATTGTCACAGAGACTAATTCTTCCTATCTTCTGTCCTACTGTCCCCACGTCTCCTTGGGAAATGGACCAGACGTAACCAGACACTCCTGCCCTCCCCACTTAGCTTCCTTGGCTGGCTTTCTTCTACCCCGAGCTGCTGAATGCTGGACCCTGAGATTCCTCCTCCGGGTTTCCGTTCCACTCTAGCAGAGGGTTGCTTAGAAGCAAAGTAATTGGGATTGGGATTCAAGGGTTCAATAGAGGCTTAGTTAAAGGATCAAAACTGTGGTTGGAGTTATGGTTAGTGTGAGAATTACCTCTTAGAAATCCCAGACTAGATCACAAGGTAAACCCTAGGGCTGGGGTTGGAGACAGAGATTATGACTAAAGGGTCAAGGTCAGAGAGTTTCTCTCCTCTGGCCTCCTCCCAGTTCTCCTAGGCACTGAGGGCCAGGCAGGAAGCATCGGTTTCCTCAAAGCTGCTTCCCTCCTGGGGCAGAGTCTCAGTCACAAACAACCACCACCACCCCGCCCCACCCCGCCTTCCCTCCGCTGTGAGCTCAGTAGGACAAAGTGCTGCGGACAAGGACAGAGGCCTGGGAACTGCCATGGGTGCTGCAGGAATGAGCCTCCTTGGGGCTCGTTGGCCCCTGCCTCTCCTGCTTCTGCTCGGCATCGGTGAGCACCGCCCCCACCCCCAGCCCACTCTCCCTTGATCCAAGGCCTGGCCAAGGCAGGGAAGAGGCCCCGTTGCACTTTTGCTTCCCTTTTGCAGTTGGGGTACCAGAGATGATGATGGTGATGGTGATGTTGAGAGTAAGACAGAGAGACAGACGGATTGAGAGCTCTGCAGGCCCTCACCTGGATGCCATGCCTGCTGGCGTGTTCCTCTCCCTTCCCCGCTAGCGTGTTCTTTGGGAGCAGATCTTTAGACAAGGGAAGGCAGAGGAGGACTGCAGGGTTTGGGGGCCCTACTGGTAGTCAGACCAGCTCTACCTCCTTTTCTCTCCCAGGAGCTCTGGCTCAGGACTCCCCACCCCAGATTCTAGTCCACCCCGAAGACCAGCTGCTCCAGGGCCCTGGCCCAGCCAGGATGAACTGCCGGGCCTCAGGCCAGCCGCCTCCCACCATCCGCTGGCTGCTGAATGGGCAGCCCCTGAGCATGGTGCCCCCAGACGTACACCACCTCCTACCCGACGGAACCCTCCTGCTGCTACGGCCCCCTCCCCGGGGACATGCCCATGATGACCAGGCCCTATCCACAGACCTGGGTGTCTACACGTGCGAGGCCAGCAACCGGCTGGGCACAGCAGTCAGCCGGGGTGCTCGGCTCTCTGTGGCTGGTGAGGCCTGGGCTGGGAGACTTGGGAGGGGGAGCCGGGTTGGGGTGGCCCTAAATGGATGACCTGGGAGGTGGGGCTCTGAAGACTGTGCACATGGCAGTGAAAAGGTAGGTAACACAGAGTGGGGCAAACCTGGTTGGAGGCGCCGAGGCAGGACCTGGGAGAGAGCACTGGGTACCGCTCCCCGCCGACCCTCCATTCTCCCCACAGTCCTTCGGGAAGATTTCCAGATCCAGCCTCGGGACATAGTAGCCACGGTGGGCGAACAGATGGTTCTGGAGTGTGGGCCACCCTGGGGCCACCCAGAGCCCACAGTCTCATGGTGGAAGGATGGGAAACCCCTGGCCCTGCAGCCAGGGCGGCACTCGGTGAGTGTAGCTCCCTTCCTCATACTTCATCCTGTCCTGGCCACAGCTCTGCACATCCTGAGGGACTGACCCACCCTCCAGCCCCGCAGGCCCTGCAAAATTTCAGGAGGGGAGGCAGTGAGGCCTTAGGGCTTCCCTCCCCACTCACAGGCCCTCCCCAAGCGGGAGACTTAACAATGCGCCTGACCCTGACAGGTGTCCAGGGGGTCCCTGCTGATGGCGAGAGCAGAGAAGAGCGACACGGGGACCTATATGTGTGTGGCCACCAACAGTGCGGGACAACGGGAGAGCCGGGCAGCCAGGGTGTCCGTCCAGGGTAAGGGAAGGGTGGTCAGCTAAAGTCAGGGCCAAGATCGGGGGCTTCAGTTAGGGTGGTATGATCTGGTTTTGGCTGGGGTTAGGGTGTGTGGGGCTTAACCTGGGATCAGGGTCAGAGTGGTGGGGACCCCATTTAGGGACGGTTTCCCCATCCTAGAGTGGAAATAAGAGAGCTCTAGAGCTGGGCAACCTGGGAATTTTGGCTCCTGGGTGGCTGAGGGATGTTCCACTCCTCAATTCCTCACTCTGGCCTATAGGCCCCATCCCAGCCCTGTGCTCCCCACAGAGACCCAGGACTACAGGGAGCCCCTGGAGCTTCTGGCTGTGCGCATTCAGCTGGAAAATGTGACCCTGCTGAACTCGGACCCTGCGAAGGGCACGAAGCCTGGGCCTGCTGTGTGGCTCAGCTGGAAGGTAAGGCTGAGGACCTGTGGGTGGGGCCAGCCACCACTCAGGAAGGGGCTGGTCGTGAGACCCCTGAGCCCACCCGCTTCCTCTGGACTCTTTCCCAGGTAAGCGGCCCTGCTGCTCCCGCTCAGTCCTACACCGCCCTGTTCAGGGCCCAGGCTGCCCCTGGAGGCCAGGGAGCTCCGTGGGCAGAGGCCTTGCTGGCTGGGTGGCAGAGCGCAGAGCTTGGAGGCCTCCACTGGGGCCAAGACTACGAGTTCAAAGTGAGACCATCCTCCGGCCGGGCTCAAGGCCCTGACAGCAACGTGCTGCTCCTAAGGCTGCCTGAACAAGGTCAGGGAAAGATGACCCCAGAACCCAACAATGGACCCCCAGCTCCCTCTTGTCTGGGGATCCCTGAACTGTCCCACTCTATGGCGGAGGGGACGGGATGGTGGGTCCTCCCCTGGACTCCCTTCTGTCCTGGCTCAGCAAGCAGAGCTCCAAGAAGCTCTTACTCTCATCAGTGTGGCCTCTGACCCTGTGCCCCATTCCAGCTCTTTCCCTTGGAGTCCTCTCCCTCAGGATCCCTTACCACCTCTCTCCCGCCCCTCAGTGCCCAGTGCCCCTCCCCAGGAGGTGACCCTGAAGCCTGGCAATGGCAGTGTCCTTGTGAGCTGGTTCCCACCACCTGCTGAATACCACAATGGCATCATCCGCGGCTACCAGGTACCACCCTCAAGATGACACACCCCTTCCCGGAAGTGCCAGGACATCCCTCTTCCCTGGCATCCTGGTGACCCTTGCTCTGGGCACTAAGAGACAGTACCTGCGCAGAGAAGTGAGGGAAACTTACTGTTGCTGAGCAGGAGCCTTACTGTGTGCCGGACACTGCCAAGAACTTACTCTCATTCCTTCTATAGTCTACCCTGGGTCGTTATGCCTAATTTACAGATGTGAGACATGAGGCTAAGGTCACAGGTCTAGGAAACAGAACAGGAATCATAGCAGGCTGTGTCTGACTCTGACTTCTAAGGCAGTGGTGTCTGAGTTTGCACAGCAAATCAGCATCACCTGAGAACTTGTCAGAAATGCAAATTCTTAGGTCCTTTCCCAGGTTTTGGGAATCAAAAAGTCAGGGATGGGACTGGCTGGTGATCTGGACTTTAACAAATTCTTCAAGTGACCCGGAGGCACATTAGAGTTTGAGAACTTCTGGTCTAAGTCCTATTTCAGCAGTTGCTTTTGTTCCTCTTCTGTCAGCCTCCCACTCTGTAAGGGAGAGGGGAATAGGAAATGTGGTTGCATGTGGGGGTGTCCCCAGATGAACGGCAGGACCACATGCCCAGAGTCTGACCTGCAGATGAGGGGCTCAGCTGCTGGGATGGTGCTGGGGGCCGAGCTCACCTCTGTCTATGCCTCAGGTCTGGAGCCTGGGCAACACGTCATTGGCCCCAGCCAACTGGACCGTGGCAGGCGAGCAGACCCAGCTGGAGATCGCCACCCAAATGCCAGGCTCCTACTGCGTACAAGTGGCTGCAGTCACCGGCGCCGGGGCCGGGCAGCCCAGCCGCCCTGTCTGCCTCCTTTTAGGTGAGGACAGTGCCCACCCATCCCCATCCAGCCCCCATTCCTACCTTCCTCTCTCCCTCCTCACACTTCCAGTTCCTCCACCTTGTCTGCCTGACCCTCCTTGTCTCACCTGCCCTCTGTCCCTGAGCTCAATTTCCCATACAGAGCAGGCCATGGAGCGAGCTGCCCGGGAGCCCAGCGCACATGGCCCGTGGACCCTGGAGCAGCTGAGGGCAGCCTTGAGGCGGCCAGAGGTCATTGCCAGTGGGGGCGTTGTGCTCTGGCTGCTGCTGCTGGGCACCGTCGTGTGCATCCACCGCCGGCGTCGATCGGGGATGCACCTGGGCCCAGGTAAGAAGGCAAAGCGGACTCCCAGGTGGCCAGGCCTTCCCTGGGTCCAGCCAGAGTACTCCAGGGGTTTAGACCTCTGCCCAGGTGCTGGGGACTCTGGATTGAGCCTTCCTCCTGCCCTCTCCCAGGTCTGTACCGGTATACCAGTGAGGACGCCATCCTAAAACACAGGTGAGAGATGAAAGGGCTTGAGGTGAGGGAGGGGCAGAGGGGCTGAGGGACAGTGGAGCTGGGACAGAGAATTGGCTGGAGTACTAGTCTCCCCTGCTACCAGGAAGTTTGGCATCCCAGGACCTGAATCTCCCCTGAATTTCAAGCGAGAATACATTTATCTTTATTTATTAATATTCCTATTATACCACTTGACAGGTGAGTAAACTGAGACCCAAAACTTAAGTGACTGCTCAAGGCTAGTAGCTGCCTTCTGAACTCCTAACCTAGTGTTCTTGTCACAAACTGTTGTTAACACTGCGCTCCCCCACTGGCTCATTCAGCCAGGTGGAGAAGAACTAGCACTGGAGGACCAGTCTGGTTTCTGATTTTCTCAGCACACCCAGCTTCTACCTGGTAGTGCCTTTTGCTTCGGTAAATCACCTACCCACTGAGGCATCTTTCCTTCACAATAATCCACCCACAGTTCCAGCAGGGGGCGTGCTCTGCCCCACATGATAAATTCTCACTCCTTGTTCTCGATAACAGAGCCAGTCTGCAGGTCCATCTGCTCCAAGCGTGTTTGGCTGCAGAGCAAGTCTGTGGTTATGAGACAAGACACTAGGAAAGAAAACGTCCTTTTTTCTCCTATTGGCTAAGTTTTACACTAAATAACCATTTCATCTCAGTCCACCTTCTCTTGCTCTTTATCTCATTAGATTTCCTCCTGGAGGCTTCACATTCCAGGTCTGCATTATTCACCAGGAGTTTATCAAGCACCTGCTAAGTGCCAGACACATCCAGCTCTTGGGCTACCATTTTGCTGTCAGTTTCTCAGTCCAGAGCAAGGCTCCCTGCTGGCTGGTGCTGTGTTTCTGCGTTGTTCTGTGCTGATTGAACTGTCTTTCTCTCCCAGCTACCTCCTAGGCTTGGTCTGCTCTGCCCTGAACTTTCTCTGGCTTCCCTGGGACTTCATCCCTTGTCCTTGAGAGAGACTGCATTCTGATCACTTTGTTCATTCATTCCTTTAGAACAGTCTCAGGCTGCCAGGAATCCTCAGTGCTAGCGTCAATGTAACCCAGTGTTGAAAATGCAGAAACATGTACAGATACATGGAGGGGGCTGGGTTGGGAACTATGGGAGGAAGAAAGTTTCACATTCTTCCTGACAGGAAGAAGGCAAAGGGCAAAGGGAACAGCAAGAAACAGCCTGCTGTGTTCGTGGGAAAGACTAGCGTTCTGGTCTGCCTGGGGCATAGGGTGTGGGCTGAGTTAGAGCCAAGGTAAAGTTGAGGACCTGGAAGCCAGACCAACGAGGGCCCTGTTAGCCATGCTAGGCAGCTGGGCTCTATCTTGGTAAATGAGGAGCCACTGAAAATTTTAGGCAGGAAAGTGCTTTGGTCTGATCCCTGTTCTTGAAAGATCACTCAAGCAGCTGGCATGGTACCCTGTTCAAAGGGAGCCAGACTAGAGGTAGAGAAGCCCACATCCATGTAGCAAACTCATCTCTGCCAGCTGAGTGATCTCACCTTTCCTCATCTCAGCTCACAGCAGCAGCCTGTGTGGAAGGCCTTATTTTTGTTGCCATTTTACAGATAGGGAAACTGGGGCTTAGAGAGGCTAGCAGACAGAGTTGCCTGGGTTGCACAGCTAGGCTGCAGCAGATCTGGCTCCAGAACTGTGTTCTTTTTGTCTCAGTGCAAAGAGTCTCTCTTGAATATCTCCTAGCTCTGGGCAAACTTGAACTTCCCCAAACCCCAGGCTAAGACAAGGGTGCTGAGTTTGGGACACCAGATCAGAGATCTTAAGGAGTCTGTGAAGGGCTAAAAAGTAGTAAGAATAAAGCCAGGACCATCGTCTACTCCACCCCTTCTGCTAACCGCCTAAGCTGGAGTCTTGGCTGTCACTTCACCCAACCTCTCTGCACCCCCGCCCTGCACTGCCCAGGACGGATCACAGCGACTCCCCATGGCTGGCAGACACCTGGCGCTCTACGTCCGGCTCCCGGGACCTCAGCAGCAGCAGCAGCCTCAGCAGCCGGCTGGGAGTGGACCCCCGGGACCCTCTAGACGGTCACCGCTCCCGTGAGGATACCCAGGGGTTAGGGGAGCCGGGCCCAGCAGTGGAGCCAGGATCCCAGGGCTGGGGAAGGAGGACATTGGGGTGGGGGCGTTCACCATAATTCCTCCTGTCGGTTTTTATTGCAGTGATCTCCTGGGATCCCCGAAGCCCCGGCGTGCCCCTGCTTCCTGACACCAGCACTTTTTATGGCTCCCTCATCACCGAGCTGCCTTCCAGCCCCCCAGGCCGGCCCAGCCCCCAGGCCCCAGCTGTCAGGCGGCTGGCGCCCCAGCTGGCCCGGCTCTCCAGCCCCTGGCCCAGTTCAGACAGCCTCTGTGGCCGCAGGGGCCTCTCTTCTCCGCGCTTGTCTCTGGCCCCCGCAGAGGCTTGGAAGGCCAAAAAGAAGCAAGGTAAGGATGGGAGGACAGACACAGCCTGAAGCGGGTGGTAGGGGGCACGTGTGGGGCTGTGTGGGCTGCACCCCGCCCACTGCTTCCGCTCTGCTGCCCTGACGGTCGCCTGTGGCCAAGCACCCAGCACGGAGTGCACTCGCCTCGGCTTCTCCTCACACCGTGCTCTTGCCTGGGTTTCACCACGCCAGTAGTGGGCCCTGTTTCTGCAGTAGCTCAACTCAGTAAACATTTAATAAGCACCACTGCATGCCGGACAGGGGGACACAGAGACACCAGACAAGTCCTTAGTCTCTATGAGCTCAAAGTCTAATTCTGGAACCTGGACGAATGTGACCAGCGCTCGCATGAAGCCTCAGGCTCTCATTAGCTCTGCACTGTGTCCTGTGTGCATGTGTACAATGTACCTGCACCGTGTACAGGTCTGCCCAGGGACGGACCCCCAAGCCGCTTCCCAGAGAAGAATGAGTATTTTCTTTCTGCTCAGATTTCTCTCCCGACTTCTGGCTCCTTGCTTTGACTTTCCAGAAAGAAGTAATTCTAGCCTCTATTTCTTTAGCAACTACTATATGTTAGGTTCTTTACTTATATTTATTATTTTAATTAATTCTTACAACATACTGGCTAGGCATTCTCTCTCTAATTTTACACACAGGGAAAGAAGATCAGAATTGGCTAACTTGTTCAAAACCCCAGGTCCATAAGCTGCAGATTGCATATTTGAAGCCAGGATGGTCTGCTTCCAAAGGCTACTCTGAATCCATCTGGGAGCACCCTTGGGAAATCTATTCTCTCGCTCTTTTCTCCTGTGTCTGAACATTGGCCTGCACTCTCTCTGCCGTCTTCGTGAGCCTTCTGTGCTGATTCGTGAGGTTACAAATGTTCAACGGTCAATTTTTTAAGTGGATATAATCCAACTTTCACTAAGACAGAGGATGGATTCAGAGTAATTAAGATCTTGTCCGATATCCAGAATTATATGACCCTAAAGCTGGCGTCTTTTCCAGCTTCCCATCAGAGCTATTGCATTGGAAATCCTCTGTGGTAATGAAATATCAGCTAAAAAGAGATTGTATAATTTTAATTTTAAAAACTGATTTTCCAGGAGGAAGGTACAGCTCAGTGGTAGAGAGTGTGTCTTGCATGCAGGAGGTCCTGGGTTCAACCCCTAGTATCTCCATTAAAAATAAATAAATAAACTATGACTTTAAAAAAAAACAAGCCCTAGCTTTTCCATGGAGAAGCACACTGACTTGAATATAATGTATAGCCCCTCTGAGAACAGTAATACCACTGGGAAAAGATGAGCAATTTTCTACAGTCAATTCTTGAGAAAGGTTCCAATTCTGAGAGGGAGCTTCCTAAGCTCACTCAGAGGTTTTAGGTCCTCACTGCGCCCCTTGTCTGCTGACCCCAGCCCCGCTCCACCACTGCCCCAGGACGAGCTGAGCACAGTGATTCCCTTGGGCTGGTGGACACTCGGTCCACCTCTGACTCTTGGCAGCAGCAGTGAGATCTCATCCAGAGGCGTGGAGCCAGCCTTCCTGCTGTCACCTAATCCAAGAGACTGATGACTCTTTGTCTTCTAAAACTGGCAGGCTCTCTCAGTGTCCCCTACCTGCTCTGCCCCACTTCCTCTGTTTTATTATCTGACCTTAGCTGGGGTTTTTCTCTCCATGCCTAACAGACTCACAACGGTACTCTCCCATGGCTCATCTATTATACCAGGTTCTTAGTGCACTTTGCCAATACATACATTGACTGTCCTCATTAAATAATTAATTCAAACAAATATTTATTGCAGTTCAGGTGTGCCCAATGAGATCTGACCCCTCCTTGATAGCCTTTTTACCGTATAGTTTAATTCAAATAACACTGAAGCTAAATCCAAGTAAGTCGAAGCAAGGTGGAAGGAGGCTTTTTTGTTACCAGAGGAAATAAAATGAACTGGGATAAATACAGCCTTTTCCAGGACCTGCTTTTTCCCTTCCCTTTCCACACAAACCAGTATAATCAACCTGTGCCCCCAGTTCTAAGCTTAGTCAAGAAACAAGACACAAGACAAAGCAGGGCTGGAGCACCTGAAGCCGGCCTCCAGGACTCCCTGGGTCACACAACAATTAAAGGAAATGAGTAAAAACCAAACCAGCCAAAGTTACAAAAGGAAATTTGGATGGAGGAAGTCTAGACATTGTGTGAGTTTTCATCCCTGGGGCTCAGAAGGCCTGGCTACTGTACATGGATTCCTAGGGCCCAGATGGATTCTTGATGAATGCCTTGTCCCTGCTCTGAACCTGCACATGTGGCCCCCAGATCTTTGAGATCAGACTGAGCAGACAGCTCTGCCTCAGGGGCCCTGCCTGATCTCTGGTCCCCCTTCTTGTCTGGGCTTCTGATCCTGTGACATTAATCTGAAGGCTGTTTATTTTATCCTTTGCTTGATGTTCTTCTGTTCCTGGTCTTGAGAAAATCTTTTCCCTTTGTTACTCTGTTCCCTCTGGTCTAAACTTAGATCTGTTTTGGTTTGGGCCTAACCAAGTTGTTGCCCACAGCCGGGTCTTCTGTATCGTCACAGTTCACTCAGAGGTCTGTCTCCAAAGGGCCAATGCAGGACAGATGATAGCTGTCATCTTGCACATGATTCTTTTCATCTCGTGTTTACACCTGCATCTCTGATATCATCCATCCGTTCATTCACTCACTTAGCACATATTGAATATCCATGGGCAGGACATTGCGTCCGTGAGTGAGACCAATATGTTCTCTTCTAAAGTTCCTCTTCTCATCAGCTGACACTCGGTCACACCTGGCATGGTTTGGGGCTCCCTGGTTTTGTCTTACCCTTCAGCTTAACTTGACAGTCCAACCCACCTCCCCAAGTGAGAGAAACAGGTTTACCGGGGCAGGACTCTGTGGAACCATTTGCAATGGGAGAAATTTGCCATGGGAGAAATGGAAATTAACAGATTCTCTCTCCAAGAAAAGGAGTATTTGCCTTCATAGAGCCAAAATTCATGAGAGTAGGTAGCAAGTGAGGGTACAGAGATCAGGAAATTGCAATGTATACAGTAAAGAGAAAAAAAAAGTTGGTTTTTTAAAGAATCTATTAGGTGCCAGGAACTTTCCAATCTGTTTTTAATTAACTGAAAAAAACCATCCTTTGAAGTGGTTGTTTACAAATGAAATGGGCTCAGAAAGGTTAATGGATTTACCTGCGGTCACACAGCTAATGCGTGGCTGAGCTGGGCTATGAGTGCAGGTGTTTTAACTACAAGCCTAGTGCCCCCTCCTTACATCACAGATACCTGGATGGAGGTTGGGGTTGGAGAGGATGGAGAGAGGTTCTTCCTTTTTTATTCTGGGTTTGGGAACCCTAAAGCTTAATTGGATGACAAAGCTGAAGATAGAGCCTGGGGCTGGGGTCTGAAAGGCCCACCCAAGCTTGTCTCCCAGCTACTGACTCTCCCCCTTGCAGAGTTACACCAGGCCAACAGCTCCCCGCTGCTCCGAGCCAGCCACCCTACAGAGCTCTGGGCCTGTGAGGGGAGAAACAGAGGTTCTACGAACCTTCCCCAAAGCCCAGGTGAGAGGGGGATCCTGATAAACAAGTGGGGGGTGTGTAAGGTAGGGTGTGGGGCTCACCAGCCCCTACATCTGGCTTCTGTCCCTGGGGATGCTTGGTGGGGGAGTGTGGGGACAGGAAGCTGTGGGCCTGTGCAGACCGGCACAGCGGGGCCTGCGGCTGATGGGGTTCTGCCATCTCACACCCAGACTCTTCCACCCCAGGAGTGGTGCCCCGGGCTCTGGTTGCCTGGCGGGCCCTGGGACCACAGCTCCTCAGCTCCTCGAATGAGCTGGTGACTCGCCCTCTCCCCTCAGCTCCCCTCTCTCCTCGTGGACCCTCCACTCAGAGTCAACAGATCCAGTAAGCGGGCATGGGGTCAGGAAGTAGGGCTGGGCATTGAGGATGCAGGCTTGTGGGGGTGGGGGTTTGCTGAGCGTGAGTGGGTCTGGGGGAGCAGGGCAGGCACGAGAAGAACTGCTCTAACCATCTTGCCATCACTGTCTTGCCCGCATCAGGCACTCGGTGGAGCCCCAAGCCCTTCCCTGCCCTGCACTGCCAGCAGCCCCCGCCCCCGTCCTTATGCCCTCCGGTCCCCCCAGCCCCTCCAGCCCCCAGGCCTCTTCCCTCTCTGGTCCCAGCCCAGCATCCAGTCGCCTGTCCAGCTCGTCACTGTCGTCCCTGGGGGAGGATCAGGACAGTGTGCTGACCCCTGAGGAGGTGGCCCTGTGCCTGGAGCTCAGTGAGGGTGAGGAGACCCCCAGGTGAGTAGCCTGAGTGGAAACCAAAGGACTGTGGATTAGCACGAGCCAGGTGTATGCTTACCTTTGCCCCTCCCGCCTTCCTCAACTGACCTGTTTCTGCAACTCCACCCCTGCGCCACCCCAACCATGTCCTGTCTCCCGTTCTGCCTTTTCCTAGGAACAGTGTCTCTCCTATGCCAAGGGCTCCTTCACCCCCCATCACCTACGGCTACATCAGTGTCCCGACAGCCTCGGAGCTAGCGGACGTGGGCAGGGCTGGAGGAGGGGTGGGGTCCGAGGTCAGGGGGTTGCTGAGCCCACCTCGGCCCTGCCCCACCCCCACCCCCAGTGAGGGCTCCTTGGCCAACGGCTGGGGCTCAGCATCCGAGGACAACGCCCCCAGCGCCAGAGCCAGCCTCGTCAGCTCCTCCGACGGCTCCTTCCTCGCTGATGCCCACTTCGCCCGGGCCCTGGCCGTGGCTGTGGACAGCTTTGGCTTTGGTCTGGAGCCCAGGGAGGCAGACTGCGTGTTCACGGGTACGTGAGGGCACTGTCTTACTCCTCACCTCCCCCACCCCCCCACCACATGTGGGCATAGTTTCTCCTCAACCAAGAGGCAAAGCTTCCTAACCATCATCTTTGTTGTCATCGCCCTCAAAACAGCCAGTTTTTATTATGGGTTATTATTATTAAGGATTATGATGTCCAGGCACCATGTTAAGTGCTTTGCATGCCTTCAGTATTAACAGCAACTCCATGAGGAATAGTCCTTAGTGTTCTTTTCCAAATGAGGAAATTTTAAGTCCAATGGTTTTTTTAAATTGTCCAAGGTCACCCATGAGAACAAACTGTTCAAATCTAAAGCCCAGAGGCAGCCAACCGTACTGCCCACTCCGCTACCTCCAGGACTCGCCTTTTACTGGGCACGGGTCTCCAGGAAAGGTTGCTCCCCAGCCTCTCCTACTCACTCCAGCCCAGTGATTATGATCTGTCCTCACAGTGAGAAGTTCTGTCTTCTCTTTCACCTCTCCTGTGCTTTCACGGCCTTCCTCCGGTCCTGCCTGTGGCAGGTGAGGAGAAACTGGGCTCCCTGCCTCACGTGTCTAGAAGGGTAGGACCATTATCCCCAAGTCACAAGAAGGCAGTCAGAGCCTCCTGTGCCTCTGCAGTGTTCCCTTCCTCATACACTCTATCAGATGCCTAGACCCATCTTACAAACCCTAACTCCACCTTTTGCCCCCAGGAAAAGCCGTCAGGCTGGTGGCAAATGAAAGAGCAAGGATTACCTAGGACAGAAGGCCAGGGCTGGGCTGGGAGGGAAGAGCTCAAGCTGTTCTTTCTGAAGAAACCAATGAACATCTCCCTTTCCCTGGGGCAGAGGCCCCTAGCAATGTGGCCACTGGGACTGATGGACCGAGTGGGACTGGGTTATGTCTATTCTTGGTTGTACACCTTAAACAGGCCCTAAACTAGTCCCCAGTGCTGGAGGCCAACCCTCCACAGCTATCTCTACCCTCCCTGACAGACGCATCGTCACCTCCCTCCCCTCGGGATGACCTCTTCCTGACCCCCATCCTCTCCCTGCCCCCGTGGGAGTGGAGGTCAGACTGGTTGGAGGACATGGAGAAAACCCACACCCAGTGGCTGGGCAGGGGACTGCTTTCCCGGCCCCCCGACTCACGAATCTCTTCCCAGAGAAGTCAGCTCAGCTGTCCCGCACCCAAGGCCGGCGGTGAGTGTCTGCCTGGCTAATATCATGATCTTGACTGGAGGGGTTCTCGGGGGAGCCAAGAGGGAGACTGGGGTCTGGCAGGAGAGCCAAGGAGCTGGGGGATAACTCCATTCTGCTTCATATTCTCCTGCAGACGCCTCCTGAACCATGTCCTGCGACTGCCAGGGAGAGAAGCTCAGAGCCACCTCTCCCGTCAGCCGCCAGCCTGGGCTGTGGAGTGCGGGTCTCAGCCTGTGCTGCTCGGCAGTTGGGGTCCACCTTGCCCGACCACCTTGTCCCTCCGGGATTGTGAAAACACATGAAAGCAAAACAAAATATGAACAAAGGAGACCTGGAGCACCCGAGAGCAAAAAGTCATCTCCACCTGACTCCCCCTGCTGCTTGCTCTTCCCTCTGCTCCAGCCTCTCCCACAACCAGGCCCTTTTGGCCTAAGAAGCAGCTCTGTCTCCTGATCTCCCCACCCACCTGGATCCCAGGAAGTGGGGGAGCCAGAGTTCTTCCTGGAGGAAGCTCATGTGTGAGGGCTGTGGAGGATGGAGCTTCTCAGGCCCTGCCCTCTGGACGTTCCTACAGTGGCAGGCTCAACTCTCTCCCCAGCCACACCATGAAGGGAGGTGCAGAGGGGCGCCCCAGAGGCAGGGAAGCCCTACCTCAGTACCAAGGCGAAGGGTTCAAGACAGGGGAGGAAGCTGAAGGGAAATGAGTGCAAAAATGTGGGACAAATGCACTCTCTTCATACTGTTGTCACTACAAGCTTAAGGAATTTGAGACCATAAAGCCACGATGACTTGAGTTCTGTGAGATTACTCCATGGATTTTGGGGAGGGCACCCGGGTTAGAACGGGATCAAGCATTCACTGATACTCAGGGAGTGTCACACGTTTCTGTTCTGTTCTAAAGGAGGGAGTTACCTGCATCCATCAGATTTTAAGCAGAATTCAGGAAAGGGAGGGGTGGGGGATTTTCAGGGTCTGCTACTCTTAGCAACTGTTCCTGTGAAGACAACTCCTGCTTTCAGTGTTCCCAGCCCCCCTCCCCAAAGACCAGTCCCAGATGGCTTCTTAGAATAGGTAAAGTAGCTAAGTTCCAAAAAAGGTAGAACCACCTGTGATGTGAACACCCTTCAGACAAAACAGGACAGAGAAATGGAAGAGCAGGGCCTCCAGGGCCTGAGCCACAGGAAACCACTGGTGGGCAGGCAGGGCCATGTCCTTCTCACTTGATGGGAAAGGTCAGGAGCAGAATCCACACCAGGGGGAATGCTACTGAGCATGACCAGAGCCACAGGAGGACACCCTCAGGGAGGGCCGTTGGGAGGCAGGTCCTGAAAAGGTGAGAATCCTCCAAAGCCCAGCAGCTGAGTAAGGCGGGGCCAGAGCACTGCGCTGCCTGAAGTGATGGTCGGAGCACTGTGATGGCCGGAGCACTGCGCTGCCTCCGTCATCAAGCCCGTCTGGCTAGAGGGCAGTGATCTCAGGATGAGGAATCTGTGCTCCAGATACACATCCGTTCCTCTTTATTTGCTTTTCTTTTTTTGGACTTTGTTTTTCTTTTAGCTTCCTGGTAAAATTCCTTTTGAAAACATGCCATTTTGCCAGACTGAATCAGAAAAAGGAATTTGTACACACTTAGGTCACAGTGGCAGGAGAGGTGAGAGCCTGGGACTGGAGGTCAGCGGCCACCCCCTGAGAGCCCAGGGCAGTTGCTGAGTGAGAAGGAAACAGAGCTTGGGTGACCAGTGAGTGGCATGAGCTGTGGGTGGAGGAGTGATGGGGACTGTGACATTCAGGAACAAAATTAAAAAAAACTCTCTTCCAGCCCAGCCCATTACATCTGGGCCTAATCTGGCCAAGAGGTGCCCGTCTGCGCACACCATCTGTGACAGGGTGTGGGTAGGGGTCTGAAAAAGCCTGTTTTTCCTTCTTAGCTCCTCCTGTCTTTGAGTTTTTAAAAACCACTTGCGAGGCATATTTCCTGATAGGAGAGTAGCCAGTAGCCACAGCTCAGAGAGGGGAACCAACAGAGGGCCTGGCTCGACTCTCGGAAGGCGGGACAAGTTTCTCACTGTTGGTTATTTGGAAAGTCCCCTTGGTTGTAACTGGGGAGACTGGCTTCAGCTTCTTTGAGAAGGAGGACAGGTGACATCTCTTAGCCCTGTCCGTACCTGGTACAGAAAAAGTTCAAATGATACACACACGCTCGCAGCCCTCTTCCTCCCCACATCCCGCACAAAACCAGACACATGTGGCCCGGGGCCCTGATCAGACTCTTTTTATTGTCCTTTCTATGAATGGGTCTCAGATGGCAAGGGAAGGTGGCTCTCTGACTTCTAAGCCAATTCCTCAGGGAGCCCCACACATCATTGCCGAGAAGGGAGAGCCCCTCCCTGCCCCTCTCTGCTCACCCCTCCTTCACCAGGGGCAGGGCTCCAATCCAGGCTCCTGGCCCAGGGACAAACCCTTCCCCATGGAACTTCTGATAGTTCATCAAAGGTCATCTTGGTTCCTAGAGAGAGAAAGAGAAGAGGGTTGGGGGGGGGGCTAGAGAGAAGAAGAGAAGAGTTGGGGGGGGGGCTGGCTTGTAAGGCCCTGGCCTAGGGCAAACAGGCCACAGTGGGGATGGACTTTCTTTTCTCATCAGCCTGTCTCCTGATCCAGCTTCCCTACAGAGCCCAGGCCCCTCTCTTAGTCATCACATCTTCACTCTTTGTCACTTGTTCTACAGAATTTCTCCCTTCCTCTTTGCTTACTGGGTCCCCTTCTTTTTACACATCCCCCAGAAGCCCTGTCTACCTTCCTATTTTTAGTTACCCCTTGGCCCAACCTCCTCTGCCCCGCACTCTCATTTTTATGCCATCCCCAGCCCCCACCTCTCCACGTTTCTGTCCTGGCCTTTGGCTCTGGCTCCGGCTCCGGCTCCGACTCCTGCCAGGGCCCCGGGAGCCCCGAGAACTGTCGGAGCCTCTTGAAGAGTTGCTGCCGGCGGTGGAACAGGTGCTGGTGCCCTGGCCCCGGGACAGGAAGCTTGGTCGGCTGTAGGGGAGCCAGGCCTCTTCTGCAGCACAAGACAGAAGGGCAGTTGGGCCAGGCAGGGGGCAGGACATCGCAGCTTGCCCGCCGTGCCACCACAACCACAGTCCCAGCTCTGGAAGAAGAGTTGAGGGCAGACCATCCTGGGGCTGAGGAGAAGCGGAGTGCCCAGTCCGTGCTCAGAAACCCGGAGGGAACTTTGATGCAGAGAAAGCCTTGGGAAAGAAGGGACAGAGCCCCTAGCCCCAACTCTTCTCACATCTGGGCTTCAGTCGTGGGAAAGGACACAACTTGCGGACTTCAAGGAATTCTGCCCAGAGGGAGCTAGAGAGACAAGTGTCTTTGATGTTGATCAAATGCACAAACTCAGCTGAAAGTCAGGGGTGGGCTGGACTGAGAATCCTCAATGGCGCCATCTGTACTACACTATTAGGCTCCAGTCCCAAGGCCCACCTTCTTGCGCAGCAGCGGCCCTCCTTACCAGCTGGGTGGGGCCCCCGCTGGGCCCCCAGGGGCCCGGCCTGCACCATTCTCCTCTCCCCACTGTGCTCCCGCTCCCGTTCCAAGGAGGACAAGCTGCCTGCTGCTCTCAGCCCCAAGGCCCAGCTGGCCTCTTCCTCTGGTGGCGGCAAGGGTGGTGGGGGCAAGTCTGGGGAGAGATCTGTGTTCAGCAGAGTCTCCGGCTTCTCCTGACACCAGTCTTTCTCCCACTCCCACTCCCTGCACCAGGAGGCTGCAACCGAACAGCCCAAGATTTGGGTTCACTCGCTTCCCTCCGCCAGCCACCTGAGCTCCCCTTAGTTTCCTGCCTGTCCCAACCACTGTCACCACCTCCCAGGCCCAAGGCCCCCTCACCCCCAGGACTGCGCTCCCGCCTGTAGGGAAGAGCCTTGGGTTTCTTCCGGATTCGGGCACGGGGCCCATGAAGTGGAGGAGTCATCTCCCCAGGCACCTGCCGGGGTCGCCCTGTGGCATTGGGAGAGGGGAGAGGAGAAAGTAAGAGCAGATTGGGAAAGGGGCTTGAGGGGGAGGGGGACAAGCTCGGAGGGTATGGAGGGGTGGGGGCGAGTTGAGGGTCCTACAGACTCACCTGGGGCACTGCTGGCTGTACTAGGGACAGAGCTGGGACTGAGGTGATGGGGGGCTGTGGGGCCAGTACCCAGGACAGCAGGCCTCCCTTCATGGCTACTCAAAGTGGGCTGGGACACACTGTGAGGGGCACTTGGCCCAAGGAGTGCCCTCCTGCAATGACATTTGTTAGCTCAGCAAAAAATTGCCTACTGTGTGCCAGGCATTGTGCTGGACAATCAATCTGATACTCAGATGAATAAGACACAGCCCATCCCCCACAAGGCTCCCAAGCTAGTGAAGCATGAGGAAAGCCATCTTTGATATGCCCCAGGGAGCCTGCAGTCACTCCAATGGAGAAACAGTCCAAAGGGAGGGAGAGACCTTGTCATCCTCCACATTTCTCCCCAAATCACACTTCTACTCAGATAAAGCCATGAGACCTCTGCACCCTGGACTCACCCATCCATCCATTTATCCACCCATCCATTCACCCCTGAGTATATATGTACCAAGGGCCTGTAAATGCAAGGTACCATACACCTTCCTACCTGGGCATCTGATGGAGATGGGGAATGTCAGAGGGGGGCTGTGGAGGGTCAGGAGGTGAGGGGGTCAGAGTGGCTGTGGACTGCTGTCCATAGGATGGCGTGGGAGAGGGGGTTTCCCCTCGGGATGGAGGGACCAAGCAACCCCCGCTGGAGCTGGGCTCTGCCACGTGGCTCCTCTCGGGCAATGGTGGACACCACTCTTCTGGCTCTGAGCTAAGGGCAGAGAGGAAGGAGGGTAGGGATTGCCCGCTTCCCTTCTTATCCCAGCGTCTCCGCCCTCCCCCAACAGGAGGCCCTGGGCTGGTCCCATGTATCCTGGGCATCTGCAGGCAGGGTGCATCCTTACCTGCCCTCCAGCTCCTCCTCAGGCCCTTCTAGACAGCTCAGTTCACAGGAAGGGGGCGGAGGTGGCAGGGCTTCTGGCCAGTTGAGAGAGGGCATCTGTACCGGTTTTCCCAGGAGCTTTACTTTGCCTCCCCTGGCTCCTGAGGAGGGCAGGGTGGGGGCATGCCAGGATACGGTCAGGAAAGAGGCAGAGGTGGGACACATCAGAGGGGAGTGTTGGGCTAGGTCCCAGGGAGGGTGGAGAATAGTCTTTGGGGCGACAGTGTTCAGGGCTCAAATGGGGGTGTTGGGAACGGAGTCATACCGCTTTCCCCCTGGCTCCATTCTGGAGGTGCATACGGGCTCCAGGTGCCTGGATCCCCTGAGGGATGTGGGGGGAAACCCCCGTGGAAGGTCTGCAGCTCCTCGCCAGCCGGGTCAATGGTGCTGTAGACAGGACCCTCAGCAGAGGCGGCGGTGCCCCGGGCCGTCTGAGCCAGGTAAAGGGAGATCCCTGCTTCTGAGGGGGAGAGAGAGGGAGGCCAGGGGAGGAAACGGGGCAGAGACAGAAAACAGAGAACAGGAGAATGGAGGGCAATAGGAGATTTCACCGGATCAACTTCCTCCCCCACCCCAGCCCAGGGTAAAGGTTAGACACAAGAGAGGCTCCGCCAACTCACAGCCTCCCAAGGGCCCACCAGCCTCAGGAAGACTGGGGCTCCCTGACCCCCTTCAGTTTGCCCCAGTAGGTGGAAAGGAGAGATGTGCAGGGCCTGGGGTACCCGTGAGGGAATTAGCACAACTCACCATTGTAGTATCT